AGAGGGGAAGCTTCTGCTGTTTTCTAAGCTGGTGTCGACATGTGTGGTGGTGAAAATGAATGATCAGTTAACTTTAGAATTAATTTGTGTCTTTAAATTGCAAGTGAATGAGGTCTGGTAGATAAGACTGCACTTCTTGGGACTGCCTTTGAGCACTTCAGGGCAAAGCATCATGCAGAGTATTCACAAACTCTCTTGTCTAAACGTGTTTCCAAGCAAAAAGTCCAGCATAAAAAGAGAAAGTAAAGCAGGTTTATAAGATAAAACTCTTCACTCTTCAAAGTGAGCCTATTCGTGTTGTTAGAAAAATGCATTAACACTGAAGGAAAACATGAGAAAACTAGAAAATACGACACTGGAAGCCAAAATGTGCAGCTGCAGAAGTCTGTGCTAATGCTAATGCTAATGCAACAACATGTGGACAAATCAAAGCAGTATAGGGCAGCAACCAATGATTGCTTTTGAAATTATCAATCAATCTATTGATTGTTTCTACCATCTACTATTCATTTTATTCACGAACTCTCAGAAAATAATGAAAGATGTCTTCTCCAGAGCCAAAGGTGGCACCTTAAAATGACCTCAAATGACTGAAAACCCCAAAATGTTCAGTTTATTATGAAATAAGACGAATAAAAGCTGAAAATAAAGACAATTGAGAAGCTGGTAAAGTAGGAATTTTGTGATTTTTTTGCTTGAAAAATTACCCAAATTATTGATGAATAATCAGAACAGTTTGATTCACAGTTTAATTAATGATTTATGATCTGACAGTTATTTTCTATTTTTTTTAAATGAATTCATTTCAATTCTTCATTAGCTTTGAAAACATTAAAGCTATGTCCGTCATGACCTTTTAATGGGCTTATTTCGTCCAGCAAACAGCCCAAAACAACAAACTATTGACTTCATTATCACATAAGACAAATATTAGTCGTAAAAATCACATTTGTGAAGATGGAAAAGTTACAATTTTGCATTTTTTGTAGTTAAAAAGAACAAACTGGCACCTTCACATTGATTTCTTGGTCCAACGAACAGTAAAATAAATAAATAAATAAATAAATAAATAAAATAAAATATTGAGTTTACAGTGACATAAGACAAATGTTAGCTGTAAACAATGACATTTTTTAAGGTGGAAATGTAAAAATGTTGTACTTTTGCTTAAAAAATCAGAATAATTGCAGAGAAACTGATTAATCAACAAATTATTTACACTCTAAATAAGTCAAAAACCCATCTGCCAATTCGTTTGTCTATAATTATAGTTCATTTTATTTATTAAGTATCAGGGGATATTAAAAGATTTTTCCATCAGAGTTCTCCAGAACCAAACCCTCTAATATTGAGTTTATGCTCATATAAGACAAATAAAAAATAAGGACATTTGTGACGATCGAAAAGTATAAATTTAGCATTTTTGGGGGTCAAAAAATTTAAAAAAGTCCATCAGAATTCTTCAAAACCAAAGTGGCACCACCTTCATATTGCTTGTTTGGTCCAACAAACGGTCAAAAGAGACAACCCATATGACAGTTATTTTCTGTCTAATTTTAGTTAATTGATTATTAATTTTTGAGGATTTGTCCATCAGAAGTCTCAGGAACCAGAAACTGTTTGTTTTGTCCAAGAAACAGCCCAAAATATTGAGTTTGTGATCATATAAAACAAATAAATGCTGTAAATTATGGAATTTGTGAAGATAAAAAAGTATAAATTTTGCAGAATTCTCCAAAACCCAAAAGTGGTACCTTCACATTGCTGTTTGGTCCAACGAACTCAACATCAACGGTAAATAATGACATTCATGAGGCTGGAAATGTTGTGTTTTTGCTTGAAATGTCAGAAGAGTTGCAGAGAAACGGATTCATTAACAAATCATTTCCACTGCAAACAACTTAAAAACTTATATTAGTGGAACTCTGGTGTTTCCTGAAGCTGTAAATACAGTTTTCAATGAACAATAACAAGAATCAGGACATATATCAGTGAATCCATGAAGTGTCATATATGATGGATGGGCGACCAGGTGGATAAAGTAGCAGCTGTTTAATGTTTGGGGTTTGATAACTGAATTTCTCCTTCAGAATAAAAGCATCATATCTAATATCCTAAATCTGGTTTTCAGGTTCACATGGGGACCCACATGTGGAACAACGCTCCGGCCCGGAGAGGCCGGCGGCTGTCGGTGGAGAACCCCATGGCCCTGCTGGGCGGAGAAGCCGCGAAGTTCGGGGAGATGTTCCAGAAGGACCTGGCAGCGCGGGCCATGAACGTGGACCCTGGGTTCTGGAACCGCTACGCGACGGCCATCACCAACAGCCTGACCATGAAGAACAACGAGATCTCGGTGATTCAGAACAGGGGCATCTCTCAGCTGCACCCTCTGACTGCGGGCATGGACAGAGTGAGCGCCGCCGGAGGCCCGATCGGCGGCCTGACCAAGACCGGCATGGACCTGGGCGGCAACAGACACTTTTCTATGCTGATCGACGACAGCAAAGAAATCGGAATCAATTGAGAAATGAGCTGAATGTTGCTGGAATTCTTATGCAAATTATTAAGATATTTGTAAAACATCTTGTTTGTTCTTATGTATTATATATAGACTTCATAAAGAACTTTTTATCGATTGACAGAGAATAGTAGGAGATTCACATTTTGCTATTTTACTTTGCAGTCATTTGTGAATGTTTTTTTTCTATACAGAAAAGAAGCTGTTCAACCTGAGAATATCCTTCGGTGCTCAGATGTATGGTTGCTCTGAAGAAGGGAACATATTGTTCAAATCAATAATGCAAAGAGTCTGCTCTCTCCTCCAGACAGCTGCCCACTGCTGCTAGCTGGTGCAAAGCACAAAACACGCTCATGAGAACCCATGGTGACGAACTGCAATGATCTGTTGTCAATGTTTTGGTGAGAAACTGTCATTTTAAAACCACAGTTGGACCGAATAAAAACCAGAACACAACATCTGCATGTTCGTTCTTTTACGTCACACTGATGAAACTCTTGTATTGAAGTCATTTCACGTGTTCTTTGACAGAAATCACACCTGAGTAAAAGGTTTCATATTTTTGAATGCATGATGGAAGAAAAGACTTTTGAAATGTTTTATTTTCACAAACAGAAACCTCGTGTGCAGTGCAACACAGAGGGGATGTATGTACAGATGTGCATTTAGAAACAAATAGCATCTGTTAGCACGCCGGTTCTGCAGCTTGTTTCTTGTTGTAAACCTGAAGAGCACTAAAAAAAGAGAATTGTTGGATTTACTTTAAAGATTTGAGTTTAGCAAGTAAAACGAATGCCCCTGGTGTAAGTCAGATGTACTTAAGTCATTAGATTCCTGTTAAATCTGTTAAATGAGCAGTTCGCTGGAACTTACTGTTAAGAAAAGTCGAGCTGAAGTTCCAGTTTTTCCAACTTAGTCATGATCAATGAGTTGCAGCAGAAATGTTTGAAGAAATGTGGATGTCAGAGGTCAGACGTGTGTCGCCAAAGGAGCAGCAAGCCTGATTTTTACACTTTGCTAACACTAGAATACTGGTTTAAAGAGACAAAGTTTAACTTAAAGTTGATGGAATCCACAAAGTAACCTGCTTTTTTTTTTTTTTTTTTTACCAAAGCAGGAAGATAAGTGAGGTTTATTCAGGACATCACTTTACTTCAACTACAGCTTATATGGACTTTTTACAGTGCAAAACTATGTCTAGATACCAGACTGCAGCACATCCCAAAACACTGTATTACAACAATAATAATGACAAGAGTGATGATGATACCAGAAGAATTTATTGTCATATCATATTCTGGAATATATATTATAATGTATATGATGTGGTAGTAATGACGAATAGAAGAAGACCACAGTCAGCTGTAGGGATCTCAGTTGGTGAATTATTTAGGGAATCCATCCATCCATCATCTCTACACCTTAATCCTCACCAGGGTCATGGGGGGCTGGAGTCTATCCCAGCTGACTCAGGGTGAAGGCAGGTTCACCTGGACAGGTAACCAGTCTATCACAGGGCTACACTTAGAGACAGACAACCAAGCACACTCACATTCACACCTACAGACAATTTACAATCACCAGTTAACCTCAACATGTTTGCGGACTGTGGGAGGAAGCCGGAGAACCCGGAGAGAACCCACACTGCACGGGGAGAACATGGAGACTCCACGCAGGAAGATCCCGGGTGTCCTCTATTAAGGGAATACAAACAGTACATTAAAGTCTTTTATTCTGGTGAATAGTTTCTGTAAACGTAGATTGTAAACGCAGTTGTTTGTTTCTCATATACAAATTAACTTTATTGATCCCTCACTGAAGACATTAACACGTTACAGCAGCTCAAAAGACAAAAGCAGGAGGAGGGAAAAGTGATGTGACATGATGGATAATTACAACGATAATTCTACGACATGCACATTGAAAGTTTATAGAGTATACAAATAAAACTGCACATAGATTACTTTACAGACACTAATTAGTGTTGGATAGTTGCACAGTGTAAATGTGATCAATCATGTTGCACAGGAGAGTTTTCCAGGAAAAGTACAACATATATTAAAATGTAAGAATATATAATTGATGGAAGAAGATTTATTTTATACGTACGTGTTATGCAAACTGTAACTCTCATAAATGATGCTTCACGTTTTATCTTACAATTTACTGTAATTTTTATTCTTCAACACAGTCATAATTATTTTTGAGTGTGGTGCCTTCTAAGACTTCTGGGAAGCGCACAATCCATATTGTTATTGTTTCAAGTTTTACTAAGATAAAACAATCTTTGTCTGTTTGCTTGGTCTTATAAATCTGTTGCTCCAAAACGATGCTGTGCGATGAACTAAAAGGAATCCCTCATTTATTTAAAACTTCAAACAGCGCTTCGTGGGATTGACATTTACGAGATTAATATTTACGACATTCCTGTGGCACCGTGAATGCGACACTAATCCCTAACGGCGTTTTGTGACGTCAGCACGCATACTGCCCAGCCAAGATGGCTGACAGCATCCCGTTAAATCCAGTGCGGAAGAACACGCAGAGAATCCCGTATTATAACTCCGCCAGGCTTTCAAGGTACGGAGCGGCCAGCCGGGCTCTTCCTCCGGTCGGCCGCTTGAGAAACAGCCGTTTGTGTGGGATGTTATGGTCCGGCGGCCTCGTTTGCTCCCCAGGTCCGGGTCTGTGTTGCGGGTCGCGGGTGTTAGCTTGTGTTGCTGTTAGCACTGCGGCTGACAGCTTCCTCCGTGTTTTCTCATCTGTCAGCTGCCCGACTGGCTCCTACCTCCATCCTCACAGCTAAAATCCGTTTTAAATCTATTTATCCTTGGCGTTGAAACCTCTATAGCCCCTCTAGTGTTGTGCTAGAGGGGCAGATACCTGCTGCTCAGCCTCCTCTGGTATTTGATTTCCAGTCACATGATAGTTGACCAAGTTGGACTGTTGTTGTAGAAGCTGAGTGTTGTGGTCAACATGTAGCCTGGTCATGTTTCAGACTGAAGGTAAAGGCTTCAGAGGGATAATTCAGTATAATCAGGCTCTTATGGTTTAATAATACATGTAAACAGCTATTTACAAGCAGCACATTTACCTACTTTGCCAAAATAAGACTTACATTTAATGTCCAGCCATGCTGCCTCACTGAATTCCTTTCTTGTGCTTTCAATTATGAAATTAGGAGTGTCATGGTGAACACATATGGCAATCTGTTTTAACATTTAAAGGCTACACTGGGCATAAGATATGACAAAACTTTATAAATCACAAAAGATTTTTTTTAATGCTGGACGTTGCTCAGAAAAAAAACAAAATAATAAAAGAAATTCAGCGTCTAAAAAGTAGAAAAACAATAAGATGCAAGTACAACCAATTACTGAATATAATAAGGAAGGAAGCTATAATAAGGCAAGATAAGATCAGTAAAACACAATGCTCTCTATTACACTGAGGTGATGAGTAATGTTACGCATGATAATGAAATATTGCTCAATTTGTTTTGCGGTTATCGTCAAAAACAGCATTTTCCTTCAACCTAAAGTTGTCATTTCAGATATTAATGTGTATGAGGCTTTCTAATACAGATTTCTACAATTCACATTCAGAATATTGGCAACTGAGCTACGACTAGTATTAATTCCACTTTCAGATATCCACAGGTCAATTTAAAGCAGTCTTAATGCTATTTTAAGATACCTTTAATTCCCTTCAGTTCAAGATATCTATGTTGACCTTTTTTTAGATATCTTAAATTTACTTGTCAGAATTGCATTGTAGGTATCTCAAAGTGGAATTTTAGACTCTGCCAGATGACGTTGTAGATATCTGTCGTCACGTCTGAACCTACAACGTCGCTGCAACCGTGATTGTATCTGACGAGCTGCTTTACTGTGACGTCAGAGCAGCTTCCTGCTTATTTCACCCACAAGTCTCGTCTTCCACAAACTCCTCGCTGATGAACTCTCTCTGGTTCACCTCTCCTCCACCGTAACGGCCGCCGTTCTTACTGTTCAAATGCTCTGCTGAACCGACATCCAATGGGACGTCATGCACAACAGTTCTGACTAGTCATAACGGCGTCAGAGATACATGCAGCAGTTATTTGAACTCGTCAGATGTCTCTGACCTTATTAAAATGGGTGAATAGTTCTGAGTAGTCACAGTGTGATTATGACCAGTCCAGATGACGTTGCTGATGTCAGTAATTGTAATTCTGGACAGTCAGACACAGCTGTCAAAGATTAAAAAGTGTTTCGACCTGGTTTCCTGGAGGTATTATTGCGTTATGAGCAGTTCCTTTTGCTTCCTTTGTTTTATGGAGGCGGATGAGTGCACATCCTCATAATCTCCGCCTATGAATGAAACTGATGCGTCACTGTATTGATCCCTGCTTGGAACTGATCTGATCTCGCTGCGGAGGTGACTGTGCTCCAGAACGTCGGTCCCGAATCTGGTCCAGAAATCGCTGACGGAGCTTTAACCGCTGACCCTCAAGAGTAAGAGTCAGGAGACGTTTTTACAAACCGGCCTACGCTCCTGCAGGACCGGGAGCCCATCGTTATGTAATCGCATGTGGGTGTTTCATAGCAAAGGAGCGCCGTGAACAGTATAGTTTGTTGGCAAATTATCTCACCTTTGTAAGATGTGACGCGGAGATTCAGGATGGTTGTGGATGTACAGGTGTAGCCGTAAATCAAGAAGGTCTAAATGTGTTAAAGATTTGCACTGGCATCTTTTCTAGTTGTGATTCAGTTCGTCTCCGTCTCATTTCCTGGAATCCACGCTCAGTTGAAAGTTTATGAGACGATGATTCAGCTTTGTGATCATATGCGTGTGGCTGAACTGTGCTGCTTTGTATCAGAGTTATTTATGTCACAGTTAAATATTTGTCGTGCAGCTTTCATGACAGGATTTATCACAGGACTGGTGAGTAAACTGTAAACTATTAGTCGGCATAATCGATGAAACAGGACGTTTGTTTGTTGTTGTGTTTTTACTCATTGCAGCAGAGTTTTTCTTCAGTGTCTCTAGTGATTGCTGCATCATGTCGTCTCTCATTTCTGACTACAGTCATTGACCAGCTGCTTTGGTTTCAGACAACGCTGGCTGCAGGAAAGTCCAGCTCGGTTAGATATAAAAGGCTTTGGAAGTCTGGGATTACTTCACATTATTACACAACTAACAAAAAAGGTGATTTGTAAACTGTGCAGAGTTTCAATCACCTGAATAGAAAACACACAGGAAGCAGTTTTACCTGTTAGCTTCTCTCCTGCTCCCTGTGCTCACGTATGCTGCATTTTAATAGAGTGAAGCTGTTCTCTGACAAATATTTTCTGTTTCTGTTGTCAGACAGCAGCACGAGTATGAAAGTGTGACTGATTTTATCGCTGCAAACTCCCCTTGAGACAAAAACAAAAGCTGTGCTGAGAGTTTGATGGTATTTTCACAAGATTAACAGCTTCTACCAATAAAAAAAAAAAAAAATCTGCACAACTAAGAAAAAAGAAGCTGCTTCAGCTGCTTTTTCACTTTTATAGAAACTTGGTTTTCTTTTGGAGTTGCACGACTAATGATAAAAATAAAACACCTTTTTAGTTTCTATCATCATGTTGGAGTTTCTAGTTTAGCTCCACAGTTTAATTCGTTAATTTCTAAACCTTGGCATACATTTATTTCTGTCCTGCATCATACAATGACGTACACTTTGCCCAATCAGATGAGCGTAAATGAAACAGGCATTTTGCTTTTGTTGGACGACAATTAATTGTTTAGCTTAATCAAAAATAGTTATTAGATTGATGAACGGAAAAATAGGAATTAGTGGCAGCCCTAGTGGACTGGACAGCTAAATGCAGATGTACGTCTTTGCTTTTCTTTACAGATTTAAACGTTAACCTTTTATCTGTGTTGAATGTAAAAGGCACTTTCTTACAGTTTTGAACTTTAGTTCTAAATGAATTTAGGGAGAAATGAAATGCAGACATATGATCATGTTGTGATTATTTTAGATGGATGTTGCATTTATGTGCAATGAAAAAAAATGTAAAAATGATGAACATGATGAGGGTGTGCCTTTATCATCCTTGAATATTGCACTTTCCAATATTGCATTTTGATATTCCAGTTAATTGTCCAGCCCTCGATTCAATACTATCATCAATAATTCATGCAGGGCGGACGTCGCTCTGCAGCTGGAAGATTCTCAGCTGTTGGATTTCAACTCGACTCTGTTAAATCAGACCAGCAAACATTTTGCCCACAAGCTCGTTTTAAACCAGCTTAAACCCTCTGGTTTACCGTTTAAATCCCGGATAGTTTGTGTAGTTTAGCCGAAGCCGCTGCAGTCAGCTGCTCTGCGGTCATTGTGTCGACGCCGTGTGCATGAATGAACTGTTCTGTGTGATCCCCCGAATCCCAGCAAACCGCCGCTTTAAAGAATTATATCGACCAGTCAGTCCTGCACCAACAGCAAGTTGTGGGAAGCTTATTCAGTAATATGTTTATGTACAAGTAACCCTGATAGGATTAAAGAGGGAGGTTTCACAGACCGCCTTAAGGTGGAGAGTTTATTTAGAATTAAAACACATAAAGATGGTTCATAAAGTCAGATATGAAAATGACACGTTTGTTTCCTGCAGAGACATGCAGATTTAAAAAAAATATCTGAACTATATCAAGTCTTTTTTGTAATGCAGATGTAAGAACTGAATTATTTTTTTATCTGGACTGGTTCAGACGATAAAATGCAACGGTGGAGAAGATAATTTGGCAATAATTTAATCTGTTAAAAGCTTATTTTCTAGCACTGAAAAGAAGAAATAGTTTTTGTAAATCTGTACTTACTCCAGTATTAATGATAATTACGCTGAATTGTCTTTTATTTTCGCTTTGTGTTTAATTTCACTACTTAAATGGAGGGAAACATTGTGACGACGACTTCAGAGGTGTGGCGCCAAACTGATGAATTATGTAGAAGTTTGTACACAAGATAAATATGACTGTAGTGGCACAGCAGAGACGTGCTGTACGCAGCTCTACGGGTTATTTAATATGTGCTTTTATAAAGTTCATTAGAGTTTGGAATTTGAGATTAACATAAATGTAAAGGGCTGTATTTATAGAAAACACTCCTGCTACTCTCATAACATAACGTCACATCTGATGAATTGTATTTAGAACCTTTGTCCGACCAGAGACGATGGGCGTCACGGGTCACATGTTCTCTTCTTCAGACTTTTAGAGACTAGTTCACTTGCTGCCCGGCCAGATAACACGTCGTTTCGTAACTGAAAGTCCCGCTAATCACTGGAGACTCATTATCTCTCTGGTTCTTCGACTAAAGTTGCAGAAGCTCTGAGCTGAAACACAAAGTCAGACCACGGCAGCTCCTGCATGTTTAGCTCTGGCAGGCTGAGCTGCTGTGCAGGATCACCGAGGACTAGTGTGGATGGCTGATCTTAAGCCCATAATCCCGCCGATGCTGGTTTCGTGCTTGTTCACATGTCCGTGGTTTTTGTAGGTACAAGACACTCGGTCGTCTGCGGCAGAGCGGCGCTCCGGGCTGCTCCGGTCGTAGAGTTTTTTGTCTCCGCACGGGATTCGTTGTGTCTTAAATTAAGACGTCTAACTGGAGATCAGGTGACTTTGCGTGCTGCTGAATGAAATTACAAATTCTGTGGAGAAATAATCAGTATTTAGCTTGTAGAGCATAAAGTGTGTTGATGTGTTCAGTCCGATTTCAGGTGTTTGTTGTTACATTTCTTTGCCGTCATCGTGTTCACACGTTGATCCACATCTGTGCAACGTGTAGGAACTATGGAAGCAGCTGCTCCTCAGTTAGTTCATTTTATTTCGGTTTTGAATCAGATCTCACAGAAGCCTTTGCACATTTAAAACTGCCGTGTTTCTGCCGTCCACTTGTGGCGTTTTACAAGAAAGCAATACGACAAGTGGACGTTGTCATTTAATATAGAATCTGATCAAAGCTCCCACCTGAGCCCCTGTTTTTATATTTACAACAACTTTAGTTTATTAAATGAAGCGATGCAAAGTTTTACCTTCATACTGTGGATCTTTTACAGGAGTAGAGATGGGTCTGAATTTCCTGCTTTTTAATTTGTTTATCCATCATTTCTGAGCCTCAGAACTTCATCAGTACACACAGACGGGCACGTGACGTTTTCATGGCAGAACAACACGTTTAAGTTCTGTTAGAACTGCAACCAGATCAGTTTTACATCCATCCAGGTGTCACAGACTAAAGACTGAATCATAGAGAAGAAATCCTGTCTACAGATGATCAGCTGGTTTGTTCTGGAGGTCAAACGGTCCTTCCATCGTCTAGAACTGGTTCTGACCAACCACCATCACACATGCTGGTATGAGCCTGGAAAGTTTACCCAGAATGCACTTTGTAAAGTTTCCTCTGGTGAAGGATCAGAACCAGAACCACATCCAGGGTACCAATGATTGTTTCTATGACTCTGTGTCATAGACATTAACCTGCTGCAGTCTGACTGGTGCCACTATGAGACATCCCATAATACTGATGCTACCAGCTGCTTAGAGGGAGAGTTAACGGCAAACAAAAGCCAGATTTAGTCTCCAGAGTGTGACACTTGGAGTGGATGCAAAATTGAAGTGGTTCCAGTTTTTAGCAGAACTCAAATGTGTTTTTTGTTTTTAAGTTTCTCTGCTGAACTGAGGAAGTTATTATTCTCAGAAGCTGTAAAAAAAACAGAATAATAACGAGACATTGATACCCTGCCTCTGGGTACTTCAAGGTCCTGTAACTATGAGGATAATAAGGGCATAAATTTAAAAATTTTGCACGGCTAAATTAAAAATACTAAAGTTATTGTACCAAAAAAATCATCTGATTTTCAGGAGGCCGGTTTGGTGGCGCTGGTTTTTATTTTTATTTTTTTATCGCGTGACCCAGCAGATGTTCCCAAAATCTCCACACATGCAGTTCAAACCGCCTCAGACAGCAGGAGTCACTTGTCTGGATGAGAGAAGTGATCAGACAGGAGCACCAGTAAAGGATGGTGGTGCAGAACTCAGTGTGATGTAATGTGGTCCGACGCATCCACCACCAGCTGCTACGACCTCAGTAATGCACATTTAGCTCAACACCTCAGTGACGCAAAGAAACACTGGACAGGTTTTAAAAGTGTGCCTCAGCGCAAAATTCTAGTGGATCCAGATGCAGCGGGTTCGATCCACGTCCGGTTTCCTCACATTTTCACGTTTTGTTTTGTTTTTTTTTCTCCAGATACTCTTCAGAAGATGACCCCTCCAACTTGGACGAGATGCCTCTGATGATGTCGGAGGAAGGCTTCGAGAACGACGAGAGCGACTACCAGACGCTGCCCCGGGCCAGAGTCAACCAGAGGCAGCGGGGCCTGGGCTGGTTCCTCCTGGGGGGCTGGAAGGTGCTCTGTGGCAGGTACTGGTGCTGCCACGGCCGGAGGGCTCGCCGCAAACATTTATCACCACAAAATGGTTCAGTTCAGTCGGTGTCGATAACTTTTATAACCTATTTCTGTTAAAGAGGAGAAGAAAAAAGGTTTGATTTGACTTCAGACGATCTATTGAGGTGCACAGGTTTTAATTTTAATATAAACGTGACTTTAAAAAACACACATGAATTAATTTAATTTATTCGTTGAGGTATGAAAAGAAATAACAATACAGGCACACAGTTAAGAAGTTTGTTTGTGTTTTCCAACTTATATTTCTGAAGTGTTTGCACTGCTGTGAAAATGCTAGTTTCCCCAAATTTGTGCGATTAATAAAGACTTAATGTAAGAAACCTGCATGACAATAACAATAAAATGCGAAAAAGCAGCGTTAGTTAAATAAAACCAACGTTAGCTGAATCATTCCAGCTGTGAAAACAAAGAACAGCTGGAAGTAAAATAGGATTAAATTAAAAATGAGATGAAATTATGATAAATAATTCCTTTATGCATTTTTTAAAATCTATTTTTAATGTACATTACTAAAGCAAACAGTAAAGCTATGTTCTCTCTTCAAGGAAGCAGGTTGCAAATAGAAGTTTAATGATTAAAAAGCGGTTGTCAGGTTATTTATCTGTAGAGAAAACGCACCGTTTAGCGTCGCTTTCAGTCAAAGAAGAGTTTCTATCTGCAGATCAGTTATTGTCTCATTTTTTTCCCACTTAACTACAAACATATTTTCAGCAGGTTCTCGGAGTAAGAAGACGCTTTAATGTGAATTATGGCAAAAAGTGGGTTTTAAAGCCTGATTAAACTCCTAAAAACTCATTTCCGTGTGTCAAAATTACATATTTAGAAGTTTATTCAGTGAAATTAATCTGTTTGTTTCTTAAAATGGTTTAGGCCAAAGTTAAACTTTAACTTCTGGTTCTTTCTATTATTACTGTACTTGTAATATTTATATATTGCAGCTAATCTACAAGGAGACAGGCTGCTAAATTCAAGTTTAACTGTTAAAAAAGTCGTTCGTTTGCCAACCTACAGATCAGAGTTAATGTGCTTTAGTTGTTCACAGATGTGTTTGTTTTTGCTTTACACAACTGCAAACATATTTTCAGCATCATGAGAAGACTGTTTACAGCAAATTACTGCAAAAAGTGTTGAACTTTACATTAATATTCTTTCTACTATTACTGTATCGTGTAATATTTATATATTACATCTTAACTATGAGGAGAAAGGTTGAAAATTCAAGTTTAGCTATGAAAACATGGCTGCCAGGCTATTCGCTTTAGAGAAAATGAGCTGACTGTCGATGGTAAATAAATGCTGCACTGCAAACCCGCCTAGTTTCAATGTGCACGTCAGAGTTCTTGTGCTTTATTTAGTGTATTTATTTTTAATTTTACATAGATACAAACATATTTTCAGTAGATTTCTTCAGTTTGATGGCTTTTCAGTGTAGAAATTAGGCAAAAAGTGAGTTTTAAAATAAAAAAACCTCGTCTTCATGTATCAGAATTACAGAAAAATGTACAGATTAGTGCTGCTTTTAGTCACTGCAAACCCGCCCAGTTCCTACTGCACATCAGGGTTCTTGTGCTTTAATTGTGTATTTATTTTTAACTCTACACACCTGCAACCATATTTTCGTAGATTTCTTCAGTTTGATGGCTTTTCAGTGTAGAAATTAGGCAAAAAGTGAGTTTTAAAGACATAAAAACTCGTCTTCATGTATCAGAATTACAGAAAAATGTACAGATTCGTGCTGCTTTTAATCTTAAATAAATGCCCGGCTAGTTTCTGCGTGCAGATCCGAGTTCTTGTGCTTCCACGTGGACCTTGAACCGCTCCGAGTTGTTGTTGTCATTCTGTAAATGCGCGGCGCGTAGTGTATAATGTCAGCAAGTGTGCTCAGTTTGGCTTTCCAACGCACCGGTAGCTGTGCATGAAGTGCAAAGAGAGGATAAGGGCGCGTTTTTGGTCGAGTTCCTCGATGCGCACCATCAGTCCAAAAAGATTTTCAGGTCAAACAGAACGGGGCGCTTTATCCCCCCGCTAATGATTCATTTGACAGGTTTTGCCCTCTAAAGATGCTCCTTTCTGGCCGCGGCCGCGAGCGTTTGTTTACGCCGGAACAACAGCGTGTAAACAAAACGTTTGCGCAGCGACACTTACTGATGTAGAAATTCCAGAGAACGTCCCGTTTCCCCGTGCTTTGTGTCGCCTCCTGATCGAGGCCGCCTATTGATCCCCCTCCCCGTCCCCCCCGCTAATGAACAAATCGGATTTTTCACAGCTGACCAGTTTGATGCTTTCCAGTAATTTTATGTGTGCATAGTGTGGGATTATAAAACACAAATAATTCACACTGAATAAGCCCCGACTGTTCAAATGCCCTATTATTTGAATAGCATTCATTTGCTCAAATAATCGCTCTTATGAATCTGGCCTCGGAGTGCACAGAGACGGGGCGCGCCGAGGCCAACGCAAACAGCACTTTTTAACCAAAGTTGATTTATTTAGTTTCATGTTTTGCCAACTTGCTTAAAAAGTGGAAAAGCCAAGTCGCTCAGCATGACGGCATACACCGACACTCGCCGCTCGTTTCCCCTCAGGTGCCAGTTTGGGTCACGTCAGGCTGCTCTCATTGAAATTTACCCCCACGCTTGTTTGCGTTTGATATCAGATATGGGAGATAAAAGCCCACCGTCGGAGTCATTACCAGGTTGATGGAAAGTCACATACTTTTTATAAAAGGCAAACGTCAGGCCGAGTCCATCTCATCTCTAATCTCTTCTTGGAGTTTTGATAGCATCGCAGTGATAATATTGGTACGCTGGAGGTGAGGCTAACCACATAAAGCATCTTATTATCTTACAGTGATTTGACTTCAGCATGTTTACGGGTTTATTCAGGTCTGACGGTGTCCCGCACAATTCACAAAATGGAGAGAAACGAACCCTTTGAGTGTCAAAAATCAAAGGAGTTGTGCCATAAAAACAAAAAAGATCTAATTATAATTGGCTAAACTGGGGATTTAAGTGGTTGTAGAAAGCTGCTCCGTGGCCACATTATTGATATTTGTTTAAAAAAAATTAAATTTACATTATTTTAATACAAAAAAAATAAAAAACATGATTTTTTTATCGGCACAGATGTTGCAAATAAAAGCGTTTTTGCAGAGTAACATGGAAATACAAGACTAACTCCTTCAATTTTTAAAGTTTTACACAACTATGAACACATTTTCTGCAGGTTCTCCCAGTTAGAAGACTTTTCAGTGGTTTTTATGGCAATGAGGGAGTTTTAAAGTCCGACTAAACCTATAAAAACTCCTCCTCGTGTGTTAAAACTGCATATTTAAAAAGTTAAACCTATGTAAATAATCTATTCGTTCCTTAAAATCACTAACTTTTCCAGTCTGTGAGTCCACGAGGGTCAGTGTGACGTAGCTGTCTGTGAGAGGTTTAAATGCTCAGTCGTAGTGTTGACTTATTTTGTTTATATGTCTTCCAGCGTGTAAAAAAAACAAACATCTGGACAAGTTAACGAGGTAAAAAACTCGACCAGAGGGGATCTTTAGGGAACAAATTCAGTTTTAAAGCGTGCCCATTAATTCCATGTTCGTATCAGTTGTAAAGCTCCTTTATTAAAAGTCTGTGTTTGTTTGAGTGCAAGTCTTACTTTTTATTATAACGTCCCCTAAACAAACCTTTTACTGTTTGGACACTAGAGATGCATGATGTTGAGTTTCTGCAGATTATTCACAACCCTGTTTGGCTGATTTTGGATAAATGCACAACATCAAGTTTCTCCTGCAGCAGAGTTAATATCATGTTATACCTGCTGCAGATGTGCGCATAAAATACGATGCTTTTTAAATGTACAACATGCCGTGTTTACTTTTTTGTTACACTTTTGAAACAAAACTACAAACCTCTGACTTAACGAGCATTATCTGAGTATCAGTTTCCATTTTGGGCTCATCCTGGTATTTAATTTTAAAGCTCTGACATCGTCCTATTAGATTCCCTATTTTGTACGAATAACTTCTCCTTTGACTCATAATTTTTACACTGCTACCAGCTAACAAACACAATTTTTGTCCGCAGTGTGAAAAAGAACACGATGTTGCACTAAATGCACATATCAGTCAGTATGTTTCTGTACTGACTGGCGTATTAAGTTTGTTTTGTAAAACCCCTTCAGCGTTTCCTATGTTTTGTCTTCAACTTTTATAATCATGAAGCAATTTTAACTTGAAAATGAGCAAAAATTAGGCAACAAAAGCCTGAAAATGTGTGTTTTTTTTATAGCACGTATGTTGTTTTCTGATGTCTACCCTGTTAATCATGTCATGACACCTTAAATTTATATTTTGACCTCTTGTGGAGTTTTCTTTAGATCATCCAGAGTTTTAAAATCAAAGAAGTTCTTCATAAAAATATGTCCAATAAAGCCTTAAAGATCTAACTAGCATTGACAGGACTGTAATTTTTGTAACGATAATATTTTTTTTTCTGGTTCCTACCTTGTTAATCGTCTTATGACACCTTAAATTTATATTCCTCTTGTGGGTTTTTACTTTAGATCATCCAGAGTTTTAAAATCAAAGTAGTTCTTCACAAAAATATGTTAAAAATAGCCTTAAGGTTTTCTTTACCTTTTCAACCGTTGTTTTTTTTTGGGCAATTTTTTTTTTTTTTGTTTGTTTCTACCCTGTTAATCATGTTGTGACACCTTAAATTTATATTTCGACTTCTTTTGGAGTTTTCTTTAAATCATCCAGAGTTTTAAAATCAAAGAAGTTCTTCATAAAAATCTGTCAAAATAAGCCTCAAAGATCTAATTAGCATTGACAAGACTGTAATTTTTGTAAAGCGAATATGTTTTTTTTTCTGCTTCCTACCCTGTTAATCTTCTTATGACACCTTAAACTCACGCTGTGGCCTCTTGTGGGTTTTCTTTTTTAACAACTACACTAAACACAGCCGTGCATTTAGCAGCGTTCTCTCGGTGTAACATGTTTTCACAAAGTCACGTCGGTATCTGTCTCCTCCAGCTGCTGCGACTGCCTGGCTCACATCTGTCGGAGGAAGAAGGAGCTGAAGGCCCGGACGGTCTGGCTCGGCTGCCCCGAGAAATGCGAAGAGAAGTACCCCAAAAACGCCATCAAGAACCAGAAGTACAACCTCTTCACCTTCGTGCCTGGGGTGAGTGCAGCAGAAGTCACATTTCACGCCCTGATCGTTGCTGCCCTGAATGCAGCAGTTATGGCTTTTATCGAGTCGCTCTTTTATCGTCCCCTCGGCGCCAATTTGTTCCCGATGCACCGATGTTTCCTTCCCTCAGATTAACAGTATGTAAAGCTCAGTAGCATCCGCCGGCTCTAATTGTTAGCCGCTCCGTCATTAAGTTAAGGGTTTACACTGTCGGGGACGTCGCAGATCCATCAGGGTTACTTATTAACAAGCAAACGGTGCCGTGATTAAGCGGGGCGCCTTCGGCCCGGGCCATAAAATGCCAACTGTCTATTAGAGACGTAGATATTCTCGTCGACGGCGAACAAAACGGCTCCACTTTGAATTATTAAATACACACAAATTGAGTTTAGCAGTATGCATTTTTCCCTAAAGGTCAGGGGGTTCATTAACCGCCGAGCGTCGTCCATTGATCCCATTGTCTCTGATAATCTGTGACTCGACTCTAGACTCTCATTATTGCAAACATTATTCAAAATTTGACCTTAGATGAATGGAGCGCTGAGTTTCTCCCGGCTGATGGATGGCCCATTAGCGAAGAAGCCTCGGAGAAGTCGCAGGTGCTACTTTGGCATGTGTAACGCAAGAAGGTCCGCCTGAAACGGGATCCGATCGAGTCAAACTCGGATTTTATCAGCAGAACGAACCAGTTTTTCCTTCTTCGCGTGTTCCTGTGATTATTCCGCAATCGCGCCGACACCGAGCTACGTGAAATCCGTACCGGGCCAATGCCATCTGAAGCAGACGTTCTCAAAGTGTCAGCGTTTCCATTAGGTAAATGTAAAGTTCACAGCATTAGCATGTATCCGGTTCCCTCCTGGAACATGTACAGTAACCCATCCCGACTGGTTTGTCGTCGCCGCATCCTCCCGTTGTCTCGTCTGCGGCTGTCGTCATCTCGGACTCGCCCTGAATCTTCTGTCTCTTCTGTCTCCCTCTCAGGTTCTCTACCAGCAGTTCAAGTTCTTCCTCAATCTCTACTTTCTGGTGGTGGCCTGTTCCCAGTTTGTGCCGTCGCTGAAGATCGGATATTTGTACACGTACTGGGCGCCTCTGGTAAATTACACCTAAACTTTTTACTCTGCAGTGGGGGTCAAATGATGTGTTGCTGTTGTTTTTCCAGCGCTGTGCAATGGAGAGGACCAAGAACCAACATTTGGAACCAACATAACGAATCAACTATAACATTCAACCGCTAAAGCTAACTTTTCTGTTCAGGAATGCAAGTAAAGAACTACAATCTGACATCTTAATCAAGAAATAATGATGTGATTTACTGTTTTTTTTTGTTGGTAAAACAGTTAATTTTCATAGAAGGCTTCTCTGTAGCTAGCTTCCACTGTAGCCTGAATGTGAGGCATTTAGGGAACGTCGGTAAATTGTAGTGTCAGCTGATAAGCAGTGAGGCGTGCGGATGCGGTTTTATTTCTGTTTCGCCTCAAGAGGATTCAGGAATTCAGAAGAAGATTATTTTATATCTTGTTTTAATGCAGATTTGTATGTTAGCGGTAATGTAGCGCAACACCTTAGTGAAAGCAGAGCTGTGGTTATTTTAATGCAAAGGTGCAACAAAATATATCTAAATAAATAGTCCATCCATCCATTATATGAGTGAAATTGATTTGTATTATTATTTTGGCCATAAATGTGCAGCACTGGTTCACAGGCTGAACTATGCATTGATACACGGAGAAAATAATCCACAGATTAACCGTCTAAACTCCCAGCAGCTGTTTCTGGGCGTTTTTTTTTTTTTTCTTCACTGTGGGTTCATTTTTCTCTGCAATATAAAGTCCTGCACCTCTACGGAAACAGAACAACCATGACTAGAAGGAGAGAGACCTCAGAAATGTGTTCTGTGCAGGATGACACAGTAAGAACGACAGAAATCCTAAAAAAAAAACAAACACAAAAGTTTCATTTCTTTGGCTATTTTTTCACAACAATTGAAAATATCTGCATGTTTAGCATTTTTCCAAATGTCCACAAAAGTTACCAGCACTGGGGGGAAAAAAAACTCTACGTCCTATAGATATTTCACTATTTTTAATTTTGTTCCCGTACCAGTGTTCTGTGAAAACACAGCCTGCAGTTCAACCAACAAGTCCTTGAATTGTTTTCATGTGACTGTTGGTCTCAGTTGAGTCACTAAAGGCTTCACAGTTGTGCTTAGGAGTGCAGAAATGTTAGTTTTTAACAGAATCTGGTCCAAATATTATATTTCTTTGGTCATGAAGCATTGATTTTTAGAAAACACCCCAATTTTAGGCTTTGATTTGGATAATTTATGCACATGATTAGTTCAAGGACTGCTGGAAAGTTGAAAGTACAATAAAATAACACAACTTTCAAGCTTGTATCTCTGTTTTTGGGGACTAGAAGGTTAAATTAAATAATTTTTTGATTCCTTACCGAACGACAAGTCACAGACGAGTAGTTCGAGGACCGTTGGAAAGTTCAAAATTGAACACAAATTCTCCGTTTTTTAGTTTCTTGCTCTGATAAAAGGTGTAATTTGTGCAATTTTTTTATGAAAGCAACCAGTCCAAGAGGCTTAATTGGTGATGAAAATAACTCCTAGTTGCAGTAGATCATTATAATTTATGGTGGTAATCACATAACAGCAGTTAAATGAACTGTATTTGAATTTGTGCTCAGCCAGTCGACCTTTCTTCGAGGTCACCTGCTTCTAATGTTTGTTAAAAGTTTTTTTTAAAAAAGCACCGCGTAGGTTTTGTTAATGAAGCCGTTTCTGTGTCTCAGGGCTTCGTGTTGGCCGTCACGATGGTGCGGGAGGCCGTGGACGAGGTGCGACGATATCAACGAGACAAAGAGATGAACTCTCAGCTCTACAGCAAGCTGACGGTGAGAGGTGAGTTCAAGAAACCGATGCGCCCTCGTCGTTCCCGTAACTTCCCGACGGCGGACGTGCAGTCGCTCCTATACTAGAAGTCATTCTTCTAGTGTTATTGGCATTGATTTCTTTTTCCTCAAGACTGTATGATCTAAGTCGTGTCCCTTTGTTGGATGTGCGGTGAATCCCCCGGTGTGGTATCCGTGTCCAGGGTTTCATCCTTTCACACTTTCCCCAACGCTCGTTTACGTTCACTGGCGAGTGCAGCAGCAGAAGAGGAAAATGGTCGTGGCGGATATCGGGGCGACATAATTGAGAGCGACCCTTTGTTTCTGTCTGAGCCTCAGACCAGAGATGAAAACACAGGAGTATTACATTATCGCGCTGGAGGTAATCGATCTGTAGGAAGGTGAGGGAGAAAGTATGAAGTGGGTTGTGGTTTCTGAGCCTCAGTGTCGTTTTCAACCTCCGGAAATCAATAACGTGCGTTTTTTATTTCATAGCGCATTAAGAGTTTCATTTTAATTGCAGCTTATTTTTAGTGCTACTGTCTGTTGTGTTTCACTTTTATCCTCACATGACTTGTTTTTTTTTTTTTTCTCACCAGGGAAAATTCAAGTGAAAAGTTCCGACATCCAAGTGGGAGATCTGATCATCGTCGAGAAGGTAGAGCTGTCCTCTGACTTCCATGACTTTGCATTTGTGAATCACCGTTTGTTTGACTTATTCATGTAATAATAATAATAATATTAACACATATTTGCAGTCAGGTGTTTATTTAGAATTTATTACCTACGTTTTTTGGTATCCTGGTGCAAATAGAAGATTAAAAAATTAATGATTATCTGTTTTTTTTTTTTAACCTTAAAATCGTCTTACTGATATTAAAGTGGACTGTGACTGTACTTCACTACTTTATGAGGTTTCAGTGATTTTAAGGAGTCTCTCTTGTCTTTCGTAATATTTGCATTTTTGTGACGTATTTTCGCCAGAAGCCACTTAAAGCAGATAAATTGGTTCATCATTTGTTCTGATATTGGATCTAATCACCATGTTTACTGACCGCTAAGTGTTTGTGCAGCTTGAGTGGTGCTGATTTAATATATTAAAAGTAGGCATGAGCACTAATATATATATTTTTTAAACCAGTTCCTGCTCTATTCATCCATTGCACTTTATATGGGAATGAAATGAGCAGAATCAGGATTAGAAATGTGCATCAGGAACTCGTAATTGTTTAATTATGACCAAAACGTAAATCTAAAAGTTAAAAACCGAGGCCCTCGTTCTACTTTTTTTGCTTCTCGTGAAACTCCACACAGACTTTAACATTTCCAAGCTCATATTTATTATTTTAAGTTTAGTTCCACCAAGCCTCTGTGTGTTTTCTGCAAATCCATGAAGTGAAGCACAGAAATAAGTGAGCAGCTTTCTGGTCGCACAAGTCGAACAGATTATCAGAATCAGATTCCATATGTGGCCTGTTTCTCTTGTTTTATTTATTTTTTTTAATTTTTGGACTTGAGCATAAAATCAAAACGACAAGAAACAAGCTTTTATTTGTTATTTATGTGTTTTTTGGGGAGTTTGGTTCAATAATGACTAACAAGACAAGGAAATGCAGATTGGATTAAACCAAGTTGTACTTTACTGAAGGTGGATGAAGTTTCAATGCCATAAACTGTGTAAGCCCGCTTGAAAAAAACTAAGATAGTCTGAGATAACGGCTGTCGTGAGAGTTCCCAACTGTCTTTGTGGACTCTAAGCTTTTATTTACCAGACTCTGAGCACAATCAGGTGACAAACGGGTGTTTCATGCATCGTTTGAATCTTCTTCTGCGCAAAACGGACCACCTGCTTGAGTAAAGAGGAATCATATGAAGGTTTATCACAGTAAAGAGCAACACTTTTACTGGTAGAAAACTGTTAAACGTGCAGGTTAATATAGTCGTTATGCCATTTAATGCACTCTGAGCTCTTAAAGCTGCACATCAGAGCTCTGAAACTTTGAAGTTTATTCAATTAAACGTCAACATTCAGGTCTGACAGCGTTTCATAATTAAGGAAATGTGGAAATAACTTTAATTTTTGTTCAAATCAAAGTGAAATTGATATTATGATTGAATGTTCTCTGTGATAAACCTCAATAGATTCATAAATTCTCTAATGTGTGTGTTATGAGCTGCAGTACCTGCAGACTAAATGGATTTGGAAGCAAATTAACCAAATATAAAAACGTATTTATGCGTTTTCTGCATCGCTAACTGAATGCACGTAGCAACAGGATGCACTGCTGTAGCTGCACGACTTCGTTCAGTCGGATTATTCATGTAAAGTTGAACAGGGTTGCAGATAAAACCTCACATGTAGTGAAAGAGAGACGCTTCCTACAGCCGATTTATATCCAGGGTAAGTTGTCAGCATCTGTTACCATGGCGACCTAGCAGGTTAACAGAGATCTCAGCCTCTGTTTAGCTTCTGGCTTTTAGCTCCGTTAACCTGACATGTGCAGCTAAAGTTAAGTTTCCATCAGCGATCTAAACAGCGGCTCCTCCTTCATCCTCTGCTGTTGACCTTGTTTAATTATTCAGCAGGCCTTTGTTGCGCAGCTCGGTGACACATTCCTGTTGTTTCTCTTTGTGCTTGTAGAACCAAAGGATCCCTGCAGACATGATATTCCTGAGAACGTCTGAGAAAAACGGTAAGCGGGTCAGCGGCGCGAAAGTATGTTTAAGATGCGTTCACAAACCCCCGGCTGGAGTCGGGCTCGCGGCTGAACTTTGTTTGCCCCGTGGCGCCGAAACGAACCTCGTGGAGCTCGGCGGGGGCTTGAGGAATGTGACTTCTCCCTCCTCACTTCCAGTCCTTTGACATCCCGCTGGTCAAGTCGCCCCGTGATTCATATGATTTATCCCACATTGTTCCGGTGACTGATGATGCGCCTTCCAATTAATCAATGAGCTGCGTCAGATCCCGGCTCCCTTTTTCTGAGGGGCAACCGGGAGGAAGTGTTCGGAGGACATCGCTTCCATCAATCTCCGACGTGTCAATACGCTTGTCAGGCGGTTGTTGATGTCTTTGTCTGCAAAGCACACACGCGGGCATAAAACACGTCTTTGTCGTATATTTTGTCTTTCGCACTGTTGCTGCCACTGCGGCAGAAGGAACGCATGAATCATCCTCCTTGTGTTAATGTTTTCCATCATACTTAGGCCTCCGGAGGGGATGCTTTACGGCTGCCCTTTAGCCCCTCTGTCAGATAAGTTGCTCTCATCCATCAGTTTCATATGTAATATTACCTCGGATCAATACAGGTCACCGCTGCTCAACTTTTATCAGGCCCTGCGGTGTCTGCGGCGGCCGCGCACGCCTGGCATCGGAGCCATGGGCGATAAATTAACGCACCGCTGCTGATTTATCACAGTAATACGGCTGCTATATATAGAAAAACGTGTTTTGGCTCCTCGCCGCAGGGTCATGTGTGCATCTTAAGCGTCGCTGGATTAACCTTGTTGCAGAACAGCTTCGTGTTTTTTTGCTGCGCGTTGTTTAAATTAGAAATCTGGTGGGTTTCCCTTCAAGTTTGCACTCAAAGGCAAAGCCGCTACTTTACTTTTAGGCCTCTTAGATCCTCAGAATGACTGTTTTTATCTGTTTTATGATTGAAACTAGTGGATAAGACGCATAGAGTCCAAGCTAATGTTCTTCCTTTGTTGATATTTCCAAGAAAAACCTCATGACAAACATGATTTCAATCACTTTTCTTTGCTCTCAATAGTCTTTTATTTTATTTTACACATTTCTCTCACAAGCTGCGATGCTGTTTTGCCTCTTTTAGTGTTTTTTACTACTTTGTTTTCTGTTTTACAAATTGATTTTGCAGGTCTCAGCCTCTCTCGATGTCTTGTTTTGTTTCTGCCTGTCCGACAACTTTTGCAGCACTTTGGTCAACTCTGGTTGTTTTAAAGCTGCTGTGTGATTACATTTCATTTGATTTGACTCTGTGAAAGTTGAGTTTTTTTTTTACATGAATCATTTTAGATGCTAGTTTTCAGTCTGACTGAAAATTAAACGCAGAAATTATCTGCACGAAACTGACCTTTTTTATCAGTGTATGAAGAGCTGAGCGTTTGGTTTGGCCAATCGTCGTTTTGTTTTCTGATTTTGGAGAAATCTCCAGATTCATGAGCTGCTGCTAGAATTCAGCCCAATCCATGGACACGTTCTGCAGAAACAGTTTTACGATAAGATAAAACTTTAAGGAAATTCTTGTGCGAGATGTTGCTCCAAAAGATTGGTGATTTAGGAATAACAAGAAATCCTGTCTCCTAAAAAAAAATTCTAAAAAGCAGTGAGATGTAAGTACGATACATTACAGAAATAAAATAACTAAAATAAGATTAAAAAGAAATGAATGTTGGTAATTAATGCTGACACCTCTTGGCCAAGTCATGTTTGCAAATGAAAACTGGTTCTCAGACATTTTCACCTGGTAAAATAAAGGTCAAATTAAAAAAAATACAAATAAAAAATCAGTAGTATCACAATTGATAGTACAATATCAAACACGAAATTAAAAAATTGCACATTACATTGGTGTAGTCTCGCTCACACTCAGAAACAAGCATTTAAAGTGATTTATGTAAAAAAATAAAATAAAAAATCTGCTTCCTTTGGAGAGCTGCAGGCAGCGTCGTGTAATTTGCTCCCTAAATTGCTAAACTCTGGATGTTGCTCTGAATCTCTACAGGTCAAGAGTGCAAAGTGAGCTTCGAAATACACCAGAATCCTCCTTTAAACCTGCAGAATGTGCTTTAAACAGCCGGGTTTTTAGAAGTGCAAATATTTATTACTGTCCTTTATTACGCTAAATCATCAGCGCTCTGTGAAACTCTCTGATACAACTGTACAAAACTTTGATAGTCAGAATTTATTTATTTGCCAAATGATGGATGGACTGTATGTGTGTAGCTGCGGAGGAAACATGTCCACGTAGTTTCTGCGATGATTGCAAAATATATTCTAACATCCTGCTAATTCACGGAGACGATGGAAATCTTTCATTTAGCCTCATGAATTCTCTGTCTAGTTATTTAGGGATTAATTGTACCTAGTTTGATGATAGAAGGAAACATCTCGGTTTCTTCTACCTCAAGTTAAAAATGTTTAATAAATCAGCCGAATGAAGGCCTCAGAGTCAGCTGTTGTGATTCAGAACGGTGTAAAAGAAGCTAAAACGACAAGAGAGACAAGACACAACACCCCTGACAGCGCTTTGCTTTCTTTCAGGTTCGTGTTTCATCAGAACCGACCAGCTGGACGGAGAAACCGACTGGAAGCTGAAGGTGGCCGTCGGCTGCACCCAGCGGCTGCCTGCCGTGGGGGTACGGATGCATTACGATTTAGCCGATCTCTGGTAACACACAAAACCGGCAAACCAGTGTTGTGTTATCGCTAAAAGCATTGCTCGTCAAACGTCGGTGCTGTGACGGAAACCTAATCAGCGATGACAGACAGCAGGAACATCTGAACCTGACAGCAGCTTCCTTTAGCGCCAGGCGATACTCAACGCTTAAGATTTAAGTTGACTTGATGGGCTTTTTTTTTTTTTTTCTTTGTCGGTTGCTTAATGTGATCAGAGAATTAAAGTTTCAGCAAGTCATTCGATGATTGGACTGTAGCATCCCGCCTTGGGTTTCAAGAGACGTGAAGATAACGAGAGCTGGAGTGGTTTGGCCTGTTTTCACCTCGTTAGCTTATTGTAGCTCAGCTTTATTCTGGATGAAGGGCTGTTAGCTCGCCACAGCTG